ATTCAGCACGGCTAACCCTCGCTGTTCCCAGTCCCTCCGGACGTCCAGATGCATCCTCCATTACCTCTGTATCTGCTACATATTGATGATATGGTCAAAGCCACGCATACCAGCAATGATAAGCTAATTATGATATGTGCATCCTCTGGGAGACCCCCTTGGTGACAGAGGGTAATGAAAGAAGGCAGAGTAGCGAGGGCGCAGTGTGGGAGAAGAGCCTGACAGACAGAGCCCTGCAACTTCCTTCATTTTCACTCTATATTCCAAATAACTCCCTTGCTCAATTTGCTACCCACACACCAAAGTATTGTCCCATTTTATCTGGTTCCCCTGATACTTACATTGCTTATCTTATGAAGATCTGTGTTAACATTTATCAAAACAAAGGGCAAGCCTGGGACCTTTTAAGTAGTTTTTTTAGTTAATAAAACCAATCTTCTACTTCTGTTATGTTAAAAGTACATTATCTTTTTATTACAAACTCTCTACAGCTCTGTCTGTTTTCCTTCTTGGCAATTTCATGACTGCTCCAGTTGATTGCTGTATGGAGAATTACAAAATCATTAAGGGTGGGGTTTTACCAGCTGACTTACAGTACAAGCCATTTCTCAAAATAACCACAACAGTGCAATACTGATGTGTAATTTACGTCACAGTATGTTTTTATGAAATAGTTTGTGGTTTATTCATTTAGATTTAGAACTGAATATCTCTTCTCTCGCTTTTTAATCAAGCTTTCTTCTTTCGCCTTTTTTTTTTTTTTTTTTTTACTTTTTAATATTTTCCACTCCTAGGCTTGGCTTGCCTCCAATTTACCAGCTACAGTGAGGAGGAAAAAAATGGGTTTTTTTTTCTTTTTTTTCTTTCGCCTGCAGTTTAACTGCAAGTGTGGTTTCCTCTTTGATGTATACATTTGTGTTAACTGCCTCGGAAGAGATGGTAGATTTGTGGTAGAATATATTGTACAAAGGTAGAGCAGAGAATTGATAAAAGAGATGCAAAAGTTTGGAATTTCAAACCATAGCAAGCGAGTGACGCTATTTAGCCTCCTGCTCTAGTACATTTCCTTTTTAAAAATGACTGTCTGTATAATGTCTTGTAATTAGAACAGGAAATCATTGAGTAACTGTAAGAAGAATAAGAGCACTTAAACTGAAAAGAAAATTACCTTCCGAGAAATTATATTCACAATTTTTTTTTTTTCCTTTAAGTTTTTTTTTTTTCTTCCCTTCACATTACCGTGTTGGTAATGATAGTAACAGATGTATGCACCCTTATCTGTAGCATTGTTCTGCTTATGTTTTCTGGGGGAAAAAAATCATTTTCAGTAATACAAAAAATGAATGGACAGAAAATGGGAAATGCCTAATTACAAAAAATATTCTGTGTCACAACAGAGTAGCAATTAAATTGTAACTTCAATATAATTATCAATAACAGTCGAGCCTGGAAGGGTGCCAGGCGCGTAAAGTTGGTGCTCAGCCTTTATGTGGTTGCTAGGAGCACGGCGAAAAGTATAAAGCTTAGAGAAAGGAATGTCTAATGTAATAAAGTAACAGAAGGTAGCATAAATCATTGTGAGAGCAGTTCATATTGACATTATTTTACTTAAATTGGGTCGAAACTAGACATTTAGTCTTACAAGAGGCACAAATTCATATTTCTTCCGCAGAAATAACTCTGTGCTTTCTGGGAAGAAGTGGAGTGTGCTTTCCTACCACCAGCCTCATACATATTTGGAATCTTTTAAGCAAAAATCTTTAAATGTTTGTTTCTGTTGGCATCCAAATGCATTTGCACTAATACGATTAAAAGAACTAAAGGGCAAAATACTTGGCAGCTTTTGCAGTTGAGGTAATTAGGTACAGGAAGGAACATGCATAGTTTTTCCATCAAGCTCTATAAAATCCTGGTGTGAAGGTCTTTTTGAAGAAAAAAATGCTTACTGATGTTGAGAGTAGATTATGGCGGTTAGCAATAACATTATAGGCTGATGTTTCCGAAACAAGCAAACAAAAAGCGAGTTACAGTTTTGTATTTCTCTGTTCTCTCTGTAAATAGTTCTGGCTCTAGATGGATTTGTTAGGAATTCGTGCTTTTAGCCGGCTTTATTTTTTTTTTCTTTTGGGGCTTTTAATTGTTTTGCGTTACATATTAAAAATGGTTGTGCTGATTTGAAAAGTCAGTTCTTGCATAGATTCATTGTGTTTGGCATTTCATGCATCTCTTACTTACAAAGACAACTTGAAGAACATGTAATCCAACATAAATGCCAGGCTGTGCCAAATCCCAGCTCTCTTTACCCCTCACAAAGGGAACTGTTGGATTACATCTATGCAGATATAGGCAGCGCTCGGAAGGCAGGGGTGGAACCTTGCCTCCTAATTACAGTTTCTCTGTTTTCAGCCCTGAAATATACAAATAAATGAAAAATTGACATTGGAGGGGGTTATTAAAACACGTAATTACGATATAAGCATGGGATTAGAGTAATTTCAGTTGAGCCTTACAAACAGCATACTGTAGGTATTATCTTTTACCATGTTCTCTCTGTTGAAGCTAAAATGAGATTCAGAAATACAGCATCTCGGTTTTCTAAGATCTCAGTTAAATGTTCTTAGAAATTACGTTGTTTTTCTTGATTTTAATGGAATGTGATCCGCGTTTTGATCTCTCCTCCTCCCGAGAGTAAACTCTTTCTAATCATATTTATAAAAAATATTCAGCAATATACACTAAGCCCACCATTAAATGGTGCATGTTAGATTTTGCTTGAAGAAAAATACTTCTTCTTTGGGCTTGCATTTTATTAGGGATTGGTCTACTTTGATTTCTCTTTTCTCATGTGGGCGTGGTTGAGAAAAAAGTCTTTGTTCCAGGAACACTCTGTTTGTCTTTCACTAAACAAATCTTCAGTTTATTCAGCCTTTGTTCATTCTTAGATTTATCTATTGAACCTGGAGTGAATAAAGAAAGGAAACAAATGCATCATAAAGTACTCACTGGAGTTGCACAAGCATGTGTAAAAGTGATCCTGTAAAAATGACTTGATTTTAATTTATGCCAGGGGTTTGAGTTGAGTCGTCAGTTGTCAGGGTTAGAAAGTTTGTGTAATTCTGCGCTGGGACTTACAGCACATTTGTCTAGAAACTAATGGTTTACTACAAAGGCACATGGGACATACATTTATATACACCCTGTTTAAAAAGCTGACCACATCCTGGCATAAGAAAAGTGCTGTCAGATCAACAGATTCAGCTCACCACTATCTACACAAAGGTATAAAGTAGTAATAACTGTCAGGCAAGCGTATATGAAACTCTCGAAGGAGCTAAAGGATGGATCATGTGCTTGTTAATTCCTAGAACAGTTTTCCTGATCTGATTGTTAGAGTTTCCTAATAAAGAAGAGAGTGCCTTTTTCCCAGGAGCAATTGGTTCAGTCGTGCTGTTGTGTAGGCTTATGGCATACCTACTTGTTGAAAACAAAGAAAAGCATGGCCGCATCCTGATTGACCAAAAGAGGTTTTCGGGCCATAAATTTTATTTTCTTAGAAAAGTAATGTAAATGCTGTTTGCCAGAATGTATTACTCTTACTTTTTTACACAAATTGTTTGATCTCCCCACCTATATCAGGGTAGTGGGGAAAGTTCTGAGTTTTTAAAAGTGATGGCTTTTAGGAGCTGTGCTTGTAAAAACAGTACTTCCCAAGTCCATCCGCTGTGTTGATTTTTTTTGCAGCATTGCATTTGTCTGCAGTGATGACATTCTAGGTGATATATTTGCTTCCAGAGACGACTTAAAATTTAGCCTTTTATGTGTCAACATTTCCATTGCCTCACGTGAATCAAGATGAGTTGTGCCATCGTATTTAGTTGGGGAGAACTGATCTGACATTTCTTTCAATATCTGAAGTGATTTTTACTTTAAGGGTAAGAAAGATGACTTCTGTATTGGTAATGGAATTAAATAGTAGACCTTTCGTCTCTAACAGAAGAAATAACTGAGCTATTCAGTAATCAGTACAGCAGAAAACGTAAACTGCATGCTCTTGCTTTGTCTTCATTGGCATGCATAAAAAGCCATGTTCAGTTACCCCACCTGAGGACATAAATGATCATAAAAAGAAGTGCTGTTAAGTGCTGGCTGCATACCTGCAAATGAATAATTTCTCATGTTTACATCTCTGGTTGGGTTTTTTTTCTGTTAGATTTCCTGCTGGTTATCGTATGATGAAACTTGATTGTGATATTTCAAAATCTGTCGCTTTTGTGCCTAATATCAACTAAAATCTGGGGGGATGGAAAGGTCTGAGCTCTAAATTGCTTTGTATTTTGAGCCCACATCTCGACAGTATGAGCTGTTTGGAAATTCATTTGCTCGTTGTGCTCTGTAGGTGTTTTATTGAGTCCTGCTGCATTTGCAGTTAATGTGAGGAAAGTTATTTCCACCTGTTGGGGTAGCTTAGCATCAATGACTAGGTCAAATCAGCCCACCTCCCTGGCCCAGGGGCCCTTTGGTAGTTGCCAGTATCAGATACTTCAAAGGAGAATTAATAGCTGTATGCTCTGGGGCTTGTATATTATTATTTTTAAAAGATGTTAGCTGGTGTAAACATGAGTTCAGTAAGACTGTATAGGGAGCTGAGTAAAAATGACACATAACATTTCTATCAAAGCAGCCAAGTTGGCAAAGTATGGAGAGCACTTTGATTCAGGCCAACTTCTGCAGAGTGCTGTCTTCTTACTCATCCAGGTAGAGTTCTTGTGGGTAAGCATGGGAGAACTGAACAGAAAGCCAGAAAAGAAGCTGTTTCAATAAACTTTTTTTAAATTTCTATTTTTAACCTTTCTTTTGAAAACCACTGTGCTATAAAAGATAGGTCTTGAGAAAAGACTGAACCAGTGGGCCGTGGGTTTTCTGAGATGCTTGAGTTACAGCCCTTGTTTTGTATTTTTCTGACACACTAAGAGTATTTTTGTTTTCTTTTCTTCTTCCAGGTGAGGATGATGAAGATTCAAACCTGCTAATTCTCAGCTACCCACAGTACTGTCGATATCGTTCCATGTTAAAGCGCATTCAGGACAAGCCTTCTTCAATATTAACAGACCAGTTTGTTTTAGCCCTGGGAGGCATTGCAGTAACAAGCAAGAACCCCCAAATCTTCTACTGTCGGGATACATTTGATCATCCTACTCTAATAGAAAATGAAAGTATATGTGATGAGTTTGGTAAGTCACGTTACAGCTATTTTCTTTTTCTCACGAGTAAAGACTTTTTTTTCTTTTTAAGTGTCTACTGATTTCCAAGGGGAAGATGTGATTCCTTTGAAGTGAACCAATGCTATTTGTTTTAAATGTTAAGTACCAAGTGTGCTCTTTCCTGTGTGAGACTGAAGGCTTCTAGCCACTAGTGATCTCGGTATTGCAACTTGAGTTTATCACAATCAAAGATAATGTTACACGAGTAGAGTGCGTAGCACAGTTACTCAGTATGAGTGAAAGGATCCCTTGTCTGGATTTGAAATTTATCTGCCTTAACCATTTGCCTATAGCCTATGTCTTTCCAGAAGGTTTACAAAGCATGTTGTTTTTTTTAAAAGTCATTGTTGGTGCAATATGCTAACAAATGCAAAATAGTAGAGGCTCCCTCTGTGTCCCATTGCTGTTGCAGAGCACTCATCAGCTGCGCGTGTGCTCCCAGGGCCCTGAACAAATGTCAGCTATAGCTAGTGTGTTTCTGGCCTTCCTGGAACGGGGGCTTTGCCAGTGCTAGGAGCTTGATTTTACAAGTGCAGAGGCACTTCTGGGAGGTGACCTCTTAATTCAAAGGGTGTAGAGAATACTCTGCAGCTCCAGAGGAGTATGCAGCCCCTTACAGCTGGGAGAGAGGGCTGCAAGATTAGATTCCTGATAGCTGCCAAGTGATTTCACACCTTTTTTTTTTTGTGTCAGATCAACCCAAGGGCAGCGGATGTGCTGATGAATGTGTGGCAGAATGTACGTTGTGTACACACCCAGGGTAACTCCAGTAATGTGTCCAGTGTAATTTCTTTAGCAGTGTACCTATGCTGAGAGAATTAAGTTTTATTACCCAAATCACCAGATGGATGAGCACTGCGACTAATGCTAGCAAAGTCTGTTTGCATAGCGGTGGGTACACCTTTGCTGTGTGAGATCCCTACATCTCTGCAAGGAAGCGCTTAGAGAGAGAAATTCTGATTATGTATTTAATATATAATAAAGGGAGTGAGAGGGAAGGGAGTCAACAATGCCTGTCATGGGAGAATCATTTCTCCCTTTTTCCTAACTCTAGCATGCTGGCTTTGAGCTTGGTGTCCAGTCCAGGCCTTGTTGTGCTGGCAGAGAAATGCCAACCCAGCTGGTGACATTGGGGCATTTTGGGAGGTAGTGCAGGACTGCTCCTCTGCTGCTGCACCGATCAGCTCCTGACAGGCAGGAGAGATCCTTCCTCATGCGGTGTCGTCACTGCAGCTCATTACTGCTGTGAATAGTTTTAATTTTGTGATGTCAAGCTTTTGCAGGATCGGGCCCAAACTGTCAAGTCCGCTCACACTCACACAAAACATTACAGGCTTTGAATGAACTATGAATAAAAGTGTTGGTTACTCTTAGGGGGTGGAGGTGGTGAAAAAATGAATGAAATGCCCTGGAAGCTTGGTCCAATAACACAATAGTATCATGTTGATTTTTATTTACTCTGAGCTCCGGCTCAGAATATAAAGTTCAGTTTTAATTGACTATCCTTCTTGTATGGGAAAGGTTATTTTAGGCTTGAAGGCGTTTGATGAGCATACCATCTGCTTACTGTGGAGTATTTTATTCAGGGTCATTCCTTGATTACAGGTTTGTTGAAATAGTTGGATCCATAATGTAAGTGTATCATGGAATATTAGTAATAGATGAATCAAAGAGATGTGGAGTGATGCAGAAACTACGCTTAGTGAACCATAGCAAGTGCTTTGTTCAGTCTCTGAAAGCTAACTATGCCATTCTCTTGACCTTTCCGAGGCAATTATCTCATTATCAAACCAGAGCCACAGAAATCTTAGCCATATAAATTAATAATGTGTATTTAAAATATAGTTTGGCTTATGAAGCAGATTTTTAAAATGCCTATAAAAACAAAAAAAATACTACTCTCTAAAAGTATTTCTTATGAAAATAAATAATGATGTGGTAAAATTTGCAAGCCCTGCTCTGTTGGGAAGAAAAACATGGCCAATGTACGGTTCCGTTTCTGTGTTGCAAAATGTATGATGTCAATTATATTACCGTTGTTGAAGGCAACAGGCAAAGTGCTATTTTATCCTTTTCTTTGCTGGCAGGACAATAAAATGTACAACACTTCGTTATACAAACAGTTTACATTGGTATCATGTAGATTGATGTCACATGTGGAAAGTGATGACTGCTAAAGCTAAACAGAGGCAGGGTGGTACAGTAGATAAATGGATTACTCTAAGGCACTGGTATTTATCAGTCAAATCTGAGGGGAGACCAGATTACAGAAATGTGACTAAAATTCTTAAAAGGTGTCTATAAGAAGATCCAGGCACATTTAATTTGAAGGAATTGGCTATTTCTTACCTTGCAAATGAAAGAAGTGTGCGGAAGGAACAAGATAGGAACACGTATATTTCCGCATCACCTGAAATTCTCCAAACTCTAAAGTGAGTACAAAATTTGGGAAATACGGTCTACTGATGTCTTTATGTGAGAAGTGCTGGCTTCTGATACGGATGCCAGGTCTTCTTCAGAAACGTTGCTGTTGGGGAAGGTGTTACACGTTCTCTGAGCGTTGGAGTACTGTGCAACAGATACAGCATGTCACAAGTGAGACACCAGAAACACCTTTACAAAGAGCCCCATTCACCACAGCGTGTAAGCTGCTGTCCTTGTTAGGCAGTTTTAACAGAGAAAAATGTTTTTTCCAGGAAGTATTCTCTCTACTTTTATTATACGTTTTTAACAAAAACATTTTGTTCAGCTCTGGCTCCTTCTGATCCTCCCCATTTTCTTTGCCATTCTGGAGGGGTTAACAAAAAATAAATAAAGCAGGAAATGAGGAAGAAAAATTAAGTTTTGTTGACAATAAATAATGTTTTTTTGGTGTGGGATTTTTTTCTTTTTTAAGTAGGAAAGATATGTAGATGCTGTCTGTCAGCTCCGGCAGATGTGGCTGATAGAGATGCTTTGATGCTTCAGGCAGTCCCATGTGGATGGCCTCTGTATTTCCATAGAGCTTCTGTAAGGGTTAGGCCGTGATGAGCTTCCCCTCCGGCCTCAGCGTGGGCTACCGCAGCCAGTACCTGCTGCCGACACCGCGGCCACCTGTGTCTGCGTCCATCCTCCCTGTGCGCTGCTGTACGGCACATGCCCAAGTGGTTTGGGCAGGAATATTCAGGACTGATTTTCTCGCAAAGTCCTTTTCTGCTTCTCCTCTAACTTGGTTCAGTGTGCCACAGCGTCCCACCGAGGAGGCCCTGGAGAGGCGGGCTGCTGAGGAATCGGCTCGGCAGCTGGAAGGCTCAAACATTTGCATCTATTTCTTTGCAGCCTGCCAGGGAAGGACTAGCTCTCCATTTACAGAGGAAAGACTGCTGTGAGTGGAAAGCCTCCCGCTCCCATTCTTGTTGATATAACTACTGATTAGTTAATCTAACTGCCTTGGAGGGTTCCCCTCCAGAATGCAAACAGGCTCGAAAGCTTGCTTCTGTTCAGAAAGCAGAAGACGTAAGCTGTACTTGGATGTCTTGATAGCCAAAGTTCATGGATATGACCACAGTCAGACTGTACCTCTTCCCCTCCTGAAGTAAGAGTAATCGGAGGTCCTCACCAGCACGAAACAGTCCAGGTGGATAATGAAATGCTGGTGTTGCTGGCTAGGAACAAGAAATCTGAGGTTTTGAACCTGCACAGGAGGCTAGAATGGAGTTATCCACGGTCAAACTGAAGCACAAAGGCTTGAGCCCTGACTGGCGGTGCTGCCAGCCTGTGCAGGTTTGCAAGTGGCACTGAGCTAGGGCCACGGGGAGACCTCGGGCTGGCCCTGGGCTGCAGTGGCAGCGTAGTCCCTGCCATGGCCCTGTGGGCTGTGTCTGCCTGCCCGAGGGAGGGGCCGGTTGGACGCAGCAAGGTGAGCAAACGGGATCAGTTCTCTTCATGGCCTCGTTTTATTTCTCTGTGCAGACTAGAGTTCACCTACGCATTCCTTTATCTAACTGCTCCTATAAATTGGCATGTGGAAAAAACCAAAACCCTATTTCCTCATTCTCTTGCTCCCTTAAAGTAAAAATAATATGTACCAGCTGAACAATTCATTTCTCTTCAACTCAAGATCATTGGTAAAGACATTTTTCAAAATCCTTTTCATTTATCAGCCTCTGGGGTTACTGTTATTGAATAACTTTTGTAAATGCATATAATTTACTGTCATTTGCTGTGTGGTCATATATGCTGCAAGAGAGAAGGAATGAAAAAATAGGGGTCCTAATAGTTTTCATTATAGACCAAAGAGATCTAGTTGGAGGCAAAGCTGCCTGTGCAGTGGCCAGAAGATGGATTTGAGGGTCACTGGGCAGAAATCAGTGTGCAGTTGTTGCTAGAGCAGCGCACGTCCTCTGCGTTTTCTTGTCCAAAGGAGGTGACTTGGCCTTCTACCAGACTCCTGCCTGCTCCGCCACATGGAGTAACTTCCAGGGCGCATGGATGAGCACGGATCCTTTCGTGACCCAGTCGTGGGCTGCACTGCAAATGCATGTGGGCCCCTACAGCAAGGTAGCATACAGATGTGTCTATCAGCGTGACCTCTGCCTTCTCCAGGCTTGGGGACTCGCAGGGCGGCGAGAAGAGGCACACAGCTTCGAAGCAGGAGGGTCAGGTGCTTGGGTGACGGTGGATTTCTACAGCTCCATCGGCTTCGCCAGGTGAAAATCTCGCACAGAAAGATTTGTCACGGTGCTTTGCTGGATAAATATTATAAGTCCTGCCTGCTAAAGATGAACCAGAAGGCTCACTTTCATTTTGTGAGCATGAGGTTGCTTTTTCTGTAAACAGGAGTGTGAGAGAAAACTGAATATCCTATTTCTTCTCGATTTTTAAAATCTATTTGGTAAATTTTAAATCATTCTTCATTATTTTTATAGCATGCTGGGTCCAATATGCCATTAAACAAGCTGGTCCCTGGGGTAGTGTAAACACTTGTTCAC